GCTGTCTTTGCAGAAATATTGTGCAAACAGAATCACCGGACAAACAGCAAATACATTTGTTTGCACCCTTTAATGCTAATCAAGTTCTAACTATAAAGCTGGCTATTTCACCTCTTTCTCCACTCTCAACTACATGGACCAAATATCTGGATTCCCAAGTTTCTAAAGGGAGGAAGCAGAAGAATGTGCTGCCGATCCATCATTTGGGGAACTGGTAAGAGACTAGATGCAGAATTCTGGGTTCAGGTTGCATCTTTGTCTGAAAGACTAACTAGGAGTCTTAAAGACTGACTAGCTTGACAAGGCATAAGACTGCGGCCCACATCCATGTGGTAAGGCAGGAGGCAACCCAGGAAAGCTTATGCCATACTAGATGTATGAAAAACTTTTCATGTTCTATTATGAACACACATAAAGAAAGGAGAGAGATATACAGATCTTACCATCCCCGGAGACACACTCAAGCTGAAATCCTATGCACATTTCAGAATATAGAGGAAGAGACTGCATAATTATTAAAACATTTAAAATCTCTTCAGGCAAAGAAACAGAAACTTGCTGCCAGTGCCTAAAAAACAATGACATTTACTAGATAAGAGGAGATCATGTAGAGCCAGCTAAACCCCCTTTCCATCTAGGTAACTTCTATAATCACTGCAGCCCCCTAATGATGACCAGGACAACTGTAAGGACAGTGCGTGTTTTTATTACCCTTCTCTTAATTTCAGACACTACAGTCCAAGAGCCCTTGTGGTACGGTGGATAGTGTGCCAGACCAGGGTCAGGAGGCCTGGGTTCAAATCTCTGTTCAGCCATGGGAACTCACTGCAGCATAGCAATGGCAGACCTCTCCTTGAACGCATCACATACTTTGACAGCAGGTAACAAGAAATCTAAAAATCACAGCATGATCATATACATGGTTGTTGACAAGAAATGATGACCCCCAATGGGACATCTTGTTAAATATTCCTGCAACCTAACAAGGGGAAAGGAGGCACACCAGACCTCTCAGAAGGCATTGCAGGACACATAATGTTTGTCTACGTTGATGTATAGGGTCGCCCTCACAGTTTACAATAGTAGTCAGCCAGATTGTTACTGGAAATTGGAAGGAGAGTATGATGGAAAAAGTCACACACAGAGATGAATAGTCAGACACTTTGCCCTCCGAACAGATTCTTGAAAGTGTATTTAACTCTGGACATAGGAACTGCATCACAAAACAAAGCAAAAATCCAAACTCTATCAATTCATGCCTAGCAGGTATTAAGAAGTCTGTCCAGTAAATGTGCTGCGTGTATATTTAAAGCCTATCAAGTTCCTATCAGTACATCTCGTGAAAACTGAATCCCAATGAGCAAACAACTCAAAATCAACTATTCTGTAACCAGTGTTTGTATTTGCAAACAACAGAAAAAGTTATTTTAGCACTGCATATTTTAGGGCAGACATGGAGACTGAAGCATGAGTATTACTTCAGGAGGAAATGGGGCAAGTTTGCAGCTTGAAACAAAAATATACTCGTGCATTTGAAAAAGGTAAGTTCATATGTGCTTATGAAGACATTTTCTCGGCCTATGATTCAGCCACAGACATTAGCATTGCACACAACAACCTTCCCTACAGCCAGTACACTTCAGAAAGAGTCTTCTTGTTATGTCCAGTTACCAAGTTCATATGTGCTTATGAAGACATTTTCTTGGCCTATGATTCTGCATTTGGACAAAGTGCTTTCTCGTTTTAACAGCCACAGACATTAGCATTGCACACAACCACCTTCCCTATAGCCAGTACACCAGAAAGAGCCTTCTTGTTATGTCCAGTTACTGTACTGTTTCCCACAGAACCATACCTTCTATTTGTCAAGTTCAAAAGGGTGTGGATAGAAGTATTTTTAGTCACCCCCCTAGACACCTATACAAAACTTAAGGAAGGGCTCCCCATTGCAGACTTACCTGAGTGTCTCTCGTAGCTTTCTGAGCAACTTGCTTGGAATGGCCTTCGAAGTTCAAGACAGCAATGAAGGAAGGAGCAAAGATTCCCAGCCTTGGGGAAACCCAGGTGTTCTTGGACTGCAATTTTCAGAAACTGCAACCAGCACAGCTGGTGGGGAAGGCTTCTAGTAATTGCAGTTCAAGAACACCTGGGTTACCCAGGGTTGGAAAGCACAGGACTACAGTAAAAAAAGAAAAAGGGAGGGAAATGCACCTATTTGATTGTGTTAACTGGACTCTAAAAATGTCATTCATTTGATATGTGCTAGGGAACTTCAGAAGGCATCAGAAAAGCTAGCTATTGTGCTTATAACAATCAGAGGTGTTTCAGTTGTTACTGTTGCCTTGGATATGAATTCAGCATCTCCATGTTCCATACCTTTTGATTCTCCCATAGCAAGTCCTGAGGACATGAGACTAAATCTCTTTACCTTCTTGCATCAAAATGCTCTTGGTATGGGATTAGGATGGAAAAAAACTCTGTAAATGCTAGTCCCAATCTGCGCAGTACATTCCTTGAACAATGTGGTGGCCAGAGCATCAGTCATGGACATGTTGACTCCCTTGAGGAATGTGACCTATAGAAAAACTCATAGTCACTGTGATTTAAAAAAAAACAAAAACTGGGTCAACAAAATATAGGCCATCTGGACCGCTGACAATTGTAGTCCCCAAAAGTAGCATCTCCAATTCTTGTGCGGCCATTCTCATTCATTCCTGTATGGGACAAAGTCCCTAAACATGAGGTAATGCAAAAAGAATTACACAGTTGGGCCGATATTTCTGCATTCATTTTACACAAAACATGAACCAGTTTATGACTGTTGTGCCTTCTCCCCTGCTCACCCAACACAACTGGAGGGAATATCACAGCCACACACTGATAAAGTGTCTACAACCTGCAATCAAGGACAAGATCAGAGAACAAGGTTAACTGTCCCTTCCAGCTTTAATGTCTAAGCAACTATAAGGTGTGGAAGAGTGTCCATAAAAAAATAAAACAAAACAATTCCAGTTGTAGTCATTATGCCTCTTTCCCCCCAATATCTCATTACTAGCTGGTGTGTTTCTTATACTCGTTATCTTTTCCCACAAATAGCCCATTGTTCCTATATCACTGACCTCCTTTATGGATGAATTTCCAGCATTTCTATGTGAAAACCTTATGACCAACAAACTTAACAAATGTAGCTGCTCAGCTATGCCTCACGGTGTATGCCATGCATTACAATTCCCAATATTTGTTTCTGGAGTCCCTTGAGAATTTTCAAAACAAGAGGTTTATTCAGGCCCTCGTGGGCCACCATATGTGGTTGATGAGTTGTGTTCAAATTTTGAGATAACAACTTAGCTAGATCAGCAAGTAATAAATTGGAATAGAATGGCTATTGATGTGTAGGGTGCATAATTTCCCTTGAAGTTAATTGGGTTATACAAGAGGTAGGCATGGTGATATGCTGGACTGTGATCCTGAGTCAAAAGAAAGGTATTATTCAAACATCCAAGACTTTTATGCGAAGCAAAAGTCTGTAAATATATTTTTAAAGCTTCCGTATTTCAGCAGAATTTGGACTAGAAATTCCTTAGAGCTGTAACAGCTGATCTCACGGTTGAGTTTGATATCCAGGTTGTTGGCTATGTGGCCAAGAAGCCTACGATCCATCAACATGAAACAAGGAAAGCATGCAGAGAAATGGTTACAGAACAGCTGGGTTAAGAATTTTTTTTTTACGAGGCAAGAATGCAGGAAATGACATTTGGCTTGTTATTTCAGTAAAATGTATAATGCCACCTACAATATATTTAATTTTAATGGGACCATTTCATTACACACCACTCTTACACACATTTTGTTTAGGTTGGTCAATTTTTGAAGTAACTCTGACCCCCACAACCATGCCTACATAAGACAAGCACCCATGAGATTTCAGGTATATTGCACTAAGAGACATTTTTAAATACACACCTCATCTACTCTCCATGTTATTGGGTGAAAGCACCAAACAACGATTCATGGATAAGGTTTGTATGTCGGAAGGTGAAGACTCTTTGGGCCTTCCACTCTGCAGTTCTCCTCCCACTTTGGCCCCTCAACCCAAATTTCTCCTGCGACAAAATTCAAAGTTTTATTGAAGAGTCACATCAGTGCATTAGCTATATATACATATCCCTCTCAACAACCAGCTTATGAATGAGATATCACAACCTGGAACAACATGGAACGTATTCCTTTCGTTTCCTTTTTTTCCTTAAATGTAAAGTTGCCACCAGTTTTGACCTCCAAAGAAATCAAGGACAAAGGTCTTCAGTTACTCGGTTCTTTCCAGACCTCCGTTATACAGTTCCGTTTCTTCGTATCTATCCATTGAAAAAACATGTGAGAGAACAAAACTGATGTGAATTGATTTCTCACGTAGCCACAGAAAAAGTGTTTTTCTTTCTTTCTTTTTAAAAGCCATGCTATTGTTGTTATTATTATTTGAAACTTTTTTTTAATTTTTGCATCCTTGTGTTCTTTTCTGAAGCCATGAGGAGCAGGGAAAATAAAGGAAGTGTTTAATCATCACTACTTCCCCCTTCATATAAATCCAAACCTAGAAAGAGACACTGTGGAATTACTGTTTTTTTTCCTTTCTTTTCTTTTCTTGTCTTTTTTTTAATATAAATGTCCTGAACATGTAAATAACCCATGGGAAGGGGGGAAAAGTTGGAATTAATTACACAATTACCAATAAAACTCTATCCTTGTGTCTGAGAAGACCAATACACAGCTAACTCCATATACAGCATGCAGTAATGTCAGAAGAAAGATATGGCTGAGAAGTAATGTGCTAGAATGCTAACAAATAATTTATATATGTAAA